AATTCATAACTAAAATATAATTTAGCTACGAAAAATGGCATTTAGCGTGGAATTCATCCCTCGCTAAATTCAATTTTTGTAGTAGTGGAATGGGGCTTGGGTGGCTGGTGATAAACCTGCTAGCATAGGGATTTTTTGTAAAAATAGCAGTGAGTTTTTTTATGGGTGGAGTTTGTAAGAAGATGTCGGCAGGGACACCTTTCATGGTAAAATGTCTTGCTCTAAAGGAAGCTTTTTCTTTATGTCAAAAATTTGTTGGGTACCATGTCTAAAATTGGATTGTAAAATTTTATTTGATATGTTGCGCAAGGAATTGGCTTTGGGCTGTGAATGGCAAAGTGTAAAAGTTTGTGTAGGAGCTGCTATGTTTGAAGAAGGTTCTTGATGATTTTAGTTTCTCTGTAGTTGCTGGTGAGGGTAATAAACTTGCTAACTCTCTTGCAAGTTGTGCTAGGAAGGGGATTTACCATGGTTTGTAAAATTGAATTGGATCGGATGGTTGGATGGTTGAACTAGTGAATCAGTGACCCAATTATATGTCAAGTTCAGTTTATATCTTGAAGTGACACCAAGTGACTTGAATTAACCTGGGTGACTTGAGATTAACCTGCCCAATCCCATAGGTCAGGCGGATTGCCTTTAAAAAACTCAAAAAATAAAAAAAACCTTTTAAATGGCTAAATCATCAGACCCTCTCCTTGTGCTCATACAATTGCTTCTTGGTCTTGCCTCTTGTCCCTCTAATAAGCTCTCGTCTAGTCGTTTGTTGTCTCTAAGCAGTGAGCTCTCTTCGAGCTTTGACTTTCTTGGCTTTCTCAACAGTGTTCTTGTCTAATCTCTATGAGTCTGTGAGTCTTGTCTTCAACCTTTGACAACACCCATGATGAACCTCATCATCTACTAGCCATGAATCGGAAAGAATAGAAGGAGGAAAGAAGAAGATGAAAGTGTGAGGACCAAAGAAAAGGAGATGAGAAGACTAAAAGCAAGGCAAGGATTCACGATGGGATAGAAAAAATTTAAAAAAAAAAGACAGATGATGTAAAATACTTTGATCAAATGAGAGATAGTTTAAAAAATATAATAAAAAATTGTAGATTGATAGCTAGATTTATTGCATACACCACAAGATATATCGATGACCCAATGGATAATGGACATTTGTAAGAAATAAACATTTTAACTTCTTTGGGAAGATAAATAATTTTAGAGCCTACTTTTTTTTGGTCAGCCAGAATAGAGTATTGTATTTTATTTTATATATTCAATTTAAATAATAAATTTACATGTTTTTACCACCAAATATTTATACTCATTTTTAATTGCAAAGTGTTTTTTGCCAAAAATTGCAAAGTTGAAAATGGGAAAAATAAGTGGGAAAAGTGAGAGGAAAAATTAAAATTTTGGATGAATTAATATTAATAATGAGTGAAATGGTTTCAAAAATATTGATATGGATAAATTTTTTAAGAATTAATGTTCTCTTAAAGGTCCAAAAAAAAAGAATTAATGTTCTTTTATTTAAATTATATTATTTTATCATGACTAGTTTAATTCCTGTTTAACCTGTCGATTTGACTTTGGTTGAACCCCCGACCCCGACCCCTGACTTTAGTTGATTTAATGATCGGTCTGGTTTTTAATACTTTGGGATTTACCATGTTGATTGAATGATGGTGCCTCCATCCCCTTTAGCTTGTCTTTTGTTTGTTGATATGAAATTAGCTCAAGGATCTTTTGTTTTTGGTTTTGTATCATGAACAAAATGGGATTAGAGCTTAGGAATATGGATTGGGTTGTGTGAGTTGGCCTGAATAACCAGTTACAAGAATTGGGTTGGGTTAAAAAAAATTAATCCAAATAAAAATGGGTTTTTTCTGGCTAAGATTATATAACTCGTGAATCATATAGGTTAACTCTGATGGATTAGGGTTGACTTGTTTAACTGATATTATTTTAAAAAAATAAAAAAAGGAAAAATTTTTATGGATATAAACTATATTAGGCATGATTTAACTATATCAATTTATATATTTCGTACAAACATTATAAATTAATATTTTGGTATATTTAAAATAAATTATAAAGGAATATCAAATTAAAACTTATTATTTAGATGTATTTTTTTAAAAAAAATTTATAAAAATAAATTAAAAAAATAAATGGGTTGGCGGGTTAGCCTATTTAACCTGCCAACCCTCGAGAGTTGGTTGGGTTGAAATTTTTTTTAACTTATATAAAAATGAGTTAAACCCAATCCAACTCACATTTTTTTCAACTCATATGGATCAGGTTGGCTTACATTCTCACATCTAAAAGGGATTGGCTAATTGTTTCAGTTTTAGTTGCTTTGTTTTTTTTTTTGTTTTCTTTTCTTTAGTGAGTTTGTCTACTAGGTTGCATGTTTTTTTTTTTTGAGTGTTTGTTTTGGCTTCGATTATTGATGTTTGTAATCTTTTTTATTGATTGATAAAATTGACTTTGTTTGAAAAAAAAAAAAAAACACATTTGTGAACGGAAGATAGTGATTTTATTAGGAAAGGAATACTAGGTAAAGCCTTGCCTTAAAAAAATCTAGGATACAAAATCAGGACATATTAAGCAATAAATTAAATTATGGATTTTGGACAAAATTTAAATGATGAAGAATATTTCAGCTGGTGATGTCGAAACCTTCAAATGCACTTGAGATCCAAAAGAGAAGGAGTAGAGACATGAATGAGAATCAATTGCCCGACAATGCTTTTTTTTTTTTTAGTAGTTGTGTTGCTGCATAACTTCACATGATTTTACCTCCCTTAGATCAGACTAACGCATGATTAACCACACCTTTCTTCACATAAATGTCACGAGATAATACCTTCCCTTAACAATAATATCACAAGATAATGTTTATTTTAAATGATTTACGGTTGTCAATCACGACAAATTTATGAGATAATCAAAACTTTTGTGTTGAAGAGATGATGACTTGATTAGATGAAAAATTTGGAACCACGTGTGTGGCCATTTTATTTTTTGTTTTATAAAACTTTTTTCTTTTAGGAAAATTGAATAAAGTTTTAATTTTGAATTTAAATACAAAAGATAATAGTTTAGTATATATTTTTTTAATATTATGGGAATTGTTTTAGTAAGCTATATAAGAAGTTGATAAGTTTTCTAAGATACATTTGGTGATTTCCACTTTTGATCGACCACGACCACCACTTTATTATAGGAAAGTGATGGATGATGAGAAGCTATTACGCTAACTCCAACTTTATTTGTAATATTGTTTTGAGTAATGGATTAATCTTTCATTAACAAAAAAACAATAAAGTTTTCTAAGATAAATTAAATGCCTATAGGAGAGTTTTATTAAAGAAGCGCGTTCCTGCTAAACACATTAGAGGTATCAAGAACATGAATGAAGGAGTGTCAATTAATGTTAAAACAGTAGGAGTTGAGAAAGGGTTGATCAGGAACCTTTTTATAAGAATTGAGCTGAGACCAAGAACTGTCTCGAGGAATTGATTTACCTCAAGAATTATACGAGTTCTTATTTATTTCACTTAGTTTTAAACATCTTGATTGAGAACATTTAAAAGAAAATTTTGAAGTGCATGCTCTTTACAGACAATTTAGTTATAATTGTGAAAGTTAAGAGGAGATGTTAATTCTAAACTATTGTTGTGGAAACAAATCATGAAATTGAAGGGCTTTCACTTGAACAGGATTTAAAGGTAAATATTGAAATGATATAATCTTATAGAAGTACGCACAGATAATATAATAACAATATCTTTACATTTGGAGAGATTTAACCTTGTGATCTTATAAATTATGAGTAAAATTTTTGTTAGCTAGATCAATTTTTATTGATTACTTTCAACACCTTTTATTTTAACAACACGTGAAAAAAAAAATTAATTTCATTGTTTTAAATTTAAAATTTATAGGATCAAAAGCTTTTTAAAGAATAATTTTTTAATAGTTTTACCAATTTTTTTTGAAAATAATTTTTCATATGCCAAAAGTAGGGGTGTTCAGTCCGGACCCGTCCCGATTGGCCCGGTATCGTCCCGATCGTATTGGGACGGGTCTTGTCCCGGCCCGAAAATAATCGGGACGGGACTTTACGGGACGGGACAGGAATGAGGTTCGGGACGGGACGGGACACGGGATTACCATCGGGACGTCCCGTCCCGTCCCGAATATTATATATATTATTTTTTATTTTAAATATATTAATTATATTAATATAATTTATACTTATATCAATTATAATTTTAATACTTACAATTCTTATTTAAAACTAAAGTTTTTTTATATTGATAAATTTAATGGCATGGAGTAAACATGACGATATCTTTCTTTATAATATATTAATTATATTAATATAATTTATTCTTATATATATATCTATTTAATAACTTTTATTTACAATGTATTTTTTGCTTATTTTTAGAAGAGTAATTAGCTTAGTACATCTTCACTAAAGTAGAAGAACAATGATTTGATGTTATGTTTGACTTGTTTATTGTTACTAATCTTATAGTATAAAGATCATTTGTGTTTATTATTATAATGTGTAGTTATGATTAATATGATTTAATAATTGATTTTAAATTATTGTTATTTATGTACTTGTGTTGTTTTGATTTTAAACTTAATAAATTATATGATTTAAAATTTTAATGAATGTTATTATCCAGATTTTTTTCGATATTATTTCATTTATCGGGACGGCGGGACGTCCCGATCTTGTTCCGGTCCCGTCCCGACTCTTAACGGGACGGGACGACTTTCGAGACGGGACGGGACACGGGACCAAAATTCAGTCCCAATCTTTTTCTCGGGACGGGACACGGGACGGGGGTGTCCCGGTCCCGTCCCGTCCCGTGAACACCCCTAGCCAAAAGTTACTCGGGATCGTCAGTCCCCTCCCCCCACCCCCACAAAAAACAAAAAAACAAAAAAACAAAAAAAAATCTAGCAATTGAGAACTCATTCTTCAGTCAAAACCTTCTTCGTCTTCTGCTGGAGTGAACTCTTGTTCTTCTCATTTCAATTTCATCATCATTCTTCTATTTGTTTTTGATTCGTGCTGCCACGCCGCCGTTCTGACCAACATTTTACTCTTTCTTCTACCCTCGTGTTACACGGTTTTGAGCCCACCATTTCCTTCAGGTGCGTCTTGATTCCATCTTCTATTTGTTTTTTTTCCTAGCTCATTGCCTCAAGACTCACACTGTTGCCAACACTGATTCCCATTATCTTCCGCAATATCCGTGGTTCACTTATTGCTGTGGATGAAAGTTCTGAGGCAACCCACATTTTACATTATTATAATGGTTCTTTGTATGAAGCCTACTAATTTATCAAAAATGGTATTCCCCACAAATCCATTTTTGGATGTACTTAAATTAGTCGTACCCCTTTCATTATGATGGAGGGATTAACATGTGCATACTCAAGAAAAGGATAGACCCAACACACCTCAACCTAATGCATAAATTAATCTGTATTTATATTCCATTATCCATCGCTCTGAATGAAACCAAATTTATGTTCCCTAGAGCTGAGATTCTGAAACCAAATTTTGGTCTTTATTCTTGTGTTCTTGGCAACATATTTTTTCTTTTTATATATACAAGCGAGCTGGTTTTTTTCTCAATGCTATAGTTGCTAGTTGTGATAGGTACCCCAATTTATTTGTTTTAATGATGTTGATTGGTGTAAAATTATGTTACTTTTTTTTTTTGAATTAGTGTCTGTCCTCAAGTTGAAGTAATTTTTCTAGTTTGACTAAGTGCTTCTCTGTTGAATCTCTTCCACCATTTGCTGCATTACTTTTTTTCTCTGTTGACTAAGTGTTGGATTAGTATCCCTTTGGGTTGCTGGACAAAATAATGCTTTTTTTTTTTAAAAAAACTTATATGGTCAAAGTATAAAAGAAATTTGGAAAAAGATGCATGACTGATTAGTGCCTTGAAAGATGCAAAGATTTTTCTCAATAAGTTATTTTCCTAACTGTGTGGAAAGTATAAGACCGAACTTCCTACCAAGTCTAGATTTTTAACAAATTAAACTAAGGAATTTATTCTACAAAATAACAGTGAAATTGATGATGACGTTACACATTGGATACAAGCGGGGTGGATGCAATGGAGAAATGAATCATGTATTCCTTGTGATCCCAAGGTCCCCGAGAAACTTAAAGAAAAATTTTATAGAACTGCGATAAAGGAAGCAACGCTATTTGGTGGTGAATGTTGGGCTGGGGGTTGCAGAGACTTGAGATGGATATGTGGTCATACAATGAAGGATAAGATACATAATGACCATAGAAGACAAGTTGGTGTGCCATCTATTAAGGTGAATATGGTAAAAAATCATTAAGATGACTTGATCAAGTGTAAAGAAGGCTTGTGGTGGAGGAACCAATTAGGAGGGGTGAGCAAATAAATTTTAGCACTACAAAGAGACGTAGAGGAAGACTTAGAACGATACCTTTTTTTTTTTTTTGACCAATGGCCAAGAAGGACACTTATATAGAAGTCATTAATTGATATCTCTCTGTTAATGGTTTATCAGAATAATTGTTATCAGACAAAGTATAATGGCACTGTGTAATCAATAATCCTTACAGTTAATTCCATTTAGTTGGGTAAGGTTTTCGGTGTTGTCGTTAACTAGCTTATATATTAGGACTGAATGGAATATATTTTTTATTGGCTCTATTTATTGGCCTCCAATAGTTAAATGCTGATGCAATAATTACATTGTATCTAACATGATGTACATTCTTCAGAGTCAAAGATCCATCCGTGTATTTGGTACGCATGAATGTTCCAATACTTTAATAACTTAGATTCATGAATATGGGAGGGCATAAGATAGAATGATTCATAAAAGTAATGATTAGGTTTTTTGAATCTTAAGAGGTCATGAACATCCACAAAATATGATAATATTCATAACAAACAGAGATTAAAAATTGTATATTGTCCAAAAGAAAAATAAAAGGAAAAATTTGAGAAAGTAAAAAGGAGGATGTTGAGCTTCAGTGACATATAAATGGTAAATTATATATTAAATGCATGAATCGTTCTAAGTGCATGAATGCTATAATTAAGTACATGAACATCATTCTAGTCATTCTAGTTACATCCATGACATTGCTTTGAGGGAACGTAAGTATCCATTAATATCTCCATAATCATATTATTTATAACAATAAATATTTTAATTTTAAAACCCAATTTATTAGTGTCACACACGCATATGAATGCATGGTGAGAGCCAAGCTATTTTAAGAGCAATATCTTGCAGTGCTTTGGCACAACTGTAGGAGAGAGGGCGAGATGGAAGGAGGTGGATGGGCATGGCAATGGTCGATGAAGGAGATGGGTTGGTCGGTGGCAGCCATTGTTGTGAGCTTCATGGCAATGATAATATGTGAGAAGCTGTTGTTGAAGCCTATAAGAATCAGATCAATTCTGGAGAAGCAAGGCATCACAGGACCAACACCTTCTTTCCCTTCAGGCAACCTCTCTGAGATTAAACACATTCAATCACAATTCTCCTATCTCTCCTCTTCCTCACAATTATCTGAACAATGGTTTCACTCTCTCTACCCATTTATCCAACGTTGGAGTAAACAATATGGTGAGTGTCTGTCTTTCTTTCTGTCTGTGTTGGATCTCTAAATGTCTCAATATCTCATTAAGTTAATATGAATATAACTATGATGATCAGGTGCAACATTCATGTACAGCACTGGACATAAACAACATCTACATGCGGGAGATCCTAAACTGCTCAAAGAGCTAAATTGGATGAAGACATGGGATCTTGGTAAGCCTACCCAACTTGGCAGGCATTTAAAGCCAATGTTAGGTTCTGGCATTCTCACAGCCAATGGACCCCACTGGTCTTTTCAAAGGAATCTTATTGCTCCTCAGTTTCACCTCTCCAAGATTCAGGTAATATATATTTATATATATTAATTTCTACTTCCACTCATTCTACACTATCTATTGTTTTTTTTTTTTTTTTTAACATGTGCACCCGATATCTAGAGTCCTTCGGACCCCAACTAATTTGGATCAAGTCAATAAGTTAGGTGACAAGGGTGGTAAGCTTTTGTAATGAATATTTAACGTAGCTACATACCTAGAACTCAAACTTGAGCCTTTTGGTTAAGCAAACATAACCCCTAAATCGGTTGAGTAATGCACTCATTGGTATGCTGTTTGTTATTTTATATAACGAAGCAATACTTTATATAATAGTTATTGCTGTGGAATTTACAGAACATGGTGTGTTTTATGGAGGAATCTACAATGGAAATAATGAGGAAATGGGAAAGGATTATAGGAGAAAGTGGAGGGAAAATGGCAGAGATTATGATTGACAATGATATGAAGGAACTCACTGGTGATATCATTTCTAAGGTTTGTTTTGGTGGGTCTTATTCTTTGGGCAATCAAATATTTGCCAAACTAAAAGCCTTGCAAAATGCTCTTGCTAATCCTGGCGTTCTCATAGGATTTTTACACCCCAGGTTTCATTCATGGATTCTGTCCTTTTGTTTTTCTATTCCATCACCTCAATAGCCACACACACACACATAACAATCTTGCATTTTGTGCCCAGAATTCTTCCCACCAAGAAAAACAAAGAGGCATGGAGGTTGGAGAAAGAGATAAAAGAGCTGATTCTTAAAGTTGTTCATCATCACAAGTTGCAAAACAAAAGCCTCGTAGATCAGAACCAAAAGGACCTCCTTCAGATAATTCTTGAGAATACAGATGATGAGGCTGAGAATAGCCGTGGTGCATGGGGAACACTGAAGAAGCTCAAGCATAAATGGAAAACCCAAAATCTGATTATGGATATCTGCAAAAACATCTATTTTGCAGGCTCTGACACCACTGCTATTTTACTCACTTGGACACTTATTCAGCTCTCCTTGCACCCTCAATGGCAAGATCGTCTTCGAGCTGAGATTTTCGAAACCTTCCCTGACAGATCGTTTGGCTTTAATGACATGGACAATCTTCGAAAGATGAAACAAGTTAGTATATCCTAAGCCTAGTTGAAACACTTGTATTGCATTCCCATCTAATCACTTAACATTTTTTAATATCGCCTTAGGGTGCAGTATCAAGAGTTAGTGTCCAAGTTTAAGTGGACTTGAGTTGATGACACATCAAATAAAAGTTGGGCCTAATAATTAATGCATGATAGGATTAAAGGGCCTTAAACTGTGGGTTTAGGAGTGTCTAGGATTTTAAATTTATTTTTCATGCAATGTTTTTCTTCAACATTTACAAACGTTGCAATGTCACCCCCTAACTTTTAGTTGATTAAAATATTACAGAAAAAACCTCAAAAATTACAGAGAAGAAAGAATCCAAAAAATTGTAAGTTAACTTTTGCTAAAGGTAGGGGGTGACATTGCAACATTTTTAAATGTTGAAGGGGAACATTACATCAAAAATAAATTTAGGGTCCTAAACATTTTTTAACCGATAGTTTAAAGATAAGATTACCATTTAACCCTCTATAATAAATGAAAGGACCTATAACTTCAAATCTTGAGGTTTTAAATTAAGATGTGATGCTCTACACTATTCTCCTCCCACTATCCCCCCTCCCCCAAAAAAAAAAAACCCGGGAGTCAATCCCCATTCCTAACATTAAGTATTGACTCTGATTGTGATTGTGACTGATTCCACAATATGATATTGTTTTGTGGTAGCTGTCAATGGTGATCCAAGAAAGTCTGCGATTGTATGGGCCAGGAATAAGAGTTTCAAGGGAGGCTCTTAAAGAGGTGAAGATCGGGGACATAGTGGTGCCGAAAGGAACCCACGTTTGGGTGTTCATAACTGCGATACATAGAGACAAAGAGATCTGGGGAGAAGATGCTGATAAGTTCAAGCCAGAGAGGTTTCAGAGGGGTGTTTCAGAGGCTTGTAATAATCCACATGCATACCTTCCATTTGGACTTGGAAATCGAATATGTCTAGGCCAGAAGTTCGCCATTATAGAAGCCAAGATCGCTCTTATTCATCTTCTGGCAAATTTCTCCTTCGCTCTTTCCCCTAACTATCGTCACTGTCCTTGCTTCAATTTAGTCCTGCTTCCCAAATATGGAGCGCCCCTTATGGTTACCAAGCTCTAGTAAGTATTGTGATGTACATTGTTAGTTATAAGAATGATAATCACATATATCCTCACCCAATCTAGCTAGCTCTATTGTGTAATATGATGCCATAGCTTTAATTTCTCAGTTCTTATTTTCTCTTCAAATCCTCAAGCCTCTCAATGCACTTTAATGTAAGTGACTTCGGTAAGGCCCCGTTTGGTTGACAAAATAAAATTAAAGGAAACTATTGTAAAATAAAGCAAGTAAAGCAATAGAGACAGTAGAAGGATGCGTATATATTGTAATATCTCATTTCAAATAACATACTATCTATTTATAGGCATAGCTTTACATATCAAATAACTCCTCATGTTAAATAACAAATAGTGGATAATAAAGGTCATGAATGTGATTGTAATCAATAAATTTCATGAATAGTGAAATGGTGGGAGTTATTTGAGCAAAGACGGAGAACTTGGGGAAAATGGTCATTCACAAACTCTTTATTTTATTTTTTTTTATAAATAATTTACGACCTCCGTGGGATATATGAGGTAACCCTCTTTCTTAAAACTTAAATATTTGGTCACAGTTCCCAGGTTCAATGGGAGGAAATTTGAGTGATCAAAAGGCCCTCTAACTTTCATCAAATTTTCAGACCATGTCCAAACCAGATCTGCCTCTATGTCTTCCCTTTCGCCTACACCCATGCCCGGTGAAATTAAGCTTAAAGGCTGTATGTGCATGCATGGTGTTGTTGATGACAGCAGTTGTACTTGTGCCATCGATTGGACCAAAAGCATCAGCAACGCCACTAGCAAGTGTTATGAGACCATTACACTCTCACTAAAAAACTAATTTAATAAAGTGTGCAGCACACTCACTTATATATTTAGACTCTTTCCAAATCCTTTTGATATAAGATATAACAAGGTGGCTCCATTCATCCAGTGGTACTTGGTTGAACTTGTTGAAGAAGTTGCATGGATTCTTGAGTCCAAGTCTTGAAATATATAATCACATTAAATAAATATGCTAAAACATCTTAAGGTATCTATAAGGCCATTGTTAATAACAATGGTCCTATACAATGAGATTTGGATTAGTTTTGGTGGGAGAAGATAATACCCCGAGTTTCCTAGGATAGTGAGGCATGGAATAATTTTTTTTTAAAATTTGATGTAAAAATATTCATTTTATGACAATGGTATTAAGGTTTTTGTGCATTTTAAAACTTCTACTCCATTATTTCCATTCCATTAAAAACTCTTATAAAATATTTTCCCAATTAACCATGTTTTGAACCACAAGGAAAGTAATAATTTTTTTATTGAAAAATGTTTTATTTTGTAAAAAAGATGAAAATAAATACAAAATCTCAAAAATTCGCTCATGATGAAAGGTATGAGAAGCTACATTTAGATTTTAGAGTTTTATCTCTGACCGATCTCCAGGTCTGCGGAAAAGGGGATCAACTTCTCAAAACAATTAGGAAAAATAAAAAAAATCACTGAATTCATCATTTTCATGAACTATAGAATTTTCGAAGTATCAAATTCAATTTCCTATCCACCTTTAAACAGGAAAAAAGAAGCCAATAAACTCTACATGTGACTGCAAGGAATAAACCAATATTAGCAAGAACAAATCTAAAGATAACTAACCATATCATGAACATAATGTTTAGAATGTGAGTAAATTAACCAATAAAGGTTGATCTAGTTGGTAAGGATTTAACCTATAATCTATAAGGTTGTAAGATCAAATCACACTGTCGATGTGATGATCTCGTTAGTGACCATTTGTAAGCACTCATTAAAAACAATGTGAGTAAATCAAGGTGAGCAGTTGAATACATATCTATCAAATTATGGATTTTGGACAAAATTTAAATGAAGAATATTTCAGCTGATGATGACGTTAAATGCTTCAAATGCTTTTGAGATCCAAAGGAGAAGAGGTTGATATGAATGACAATCAATTACCTGACAATGCCACATTTTATAGTTGCATTGCTAATGTAGCTTCACATGATTATGCCTACCTTAGATAAGAGGTGATTAATCACACTTTCCTTAACATGAATGTCACGACATAGCACCTTCCTTCAACAAGAATATCATAAAATAACGCTTACTTTAAATGATTTATGGTTGTTAGGTAGCCGAATTTGTGAGATAACTAAAACTTTTGAACTGAAAAGGATGGCAACTTGATTAGATGGAAATTTTCAAATCACATGTGTGACCATTTTATTTTATGTTTATAAGACTGTTTTCACGAAAATTGAATAAAGCTAGTTTTAATTTTGAAAATTAAATACAAAACCTAAAAGTGTAAAGAAGGCTGGTCTTGGAGAACGAATTTGGAGGTGTGAGCAAAAAGATTTTAGTCCTTCAAAGAGATGTAGAGGGAGACTAAAAGAATTCTTTTTCTTTTAGCCAATGACTAAAGTTGAAAAAATGAGTTGAATCACCGGGGTAAACCCATATAAACCTGTTTAAATGGTGGGCTAAGTTTGTGATTTAGATATGTTAATACTTAATTGAGGTTAAACAAACCATCCTTAACAGGTTTAAACATAAATGAGTTGACCTTTTATGGCCAAGAGCTTGCCCATTTACCCATTTATATAATTTTTAATAAAATAATTTTATTAATACTTAAAAAATAAGGAGGGAGGAAATCCAAAAAAAAAATGTTTAAAAAAGAAAACCCTAACCTAAATAAAAAAGAAAATTGATATTTTATCACTAAAGAGTCAATTCAAAGTGAAGCACAATTAAATATTCTTGATATTAAAGATAATAATGATAGTGATAATCATGATAATGCTGCTAATGTTATGGTAAGATATTTAGAGAAGCATTGTTTAGTTTGTTTAGTTTTGTTTGGTTTGGTTATATTTTTTTTTAATTGTTCATAAGTATCTTCTTATTGAATGCAATTTTATTCGAGAAATGATCAAGCATTAAATATAGGCATATCTCCAACAAGAATTTAAATCTTGGTTTGCCACACTGTGAGAGATTAGCCCCTTTCATTGAACCTAATTGGAAGTAAAAATGGGCCAAACCCCTATTAGGGGCTTACGGCCTGGTCTGCTGAATCTATTTTTACAAGACTTAGGTTATAAGTCTAACAGGTCGGTTTATTTACATATATATTATTATATAATATATATATATATATATATATCAGTTTCACCATTTAATTTTCAATCAATATATTCTTTTTTATTTCTAGTTATGTTTTCACTCAAATTAAACTCATATATTAATTTAATGTTATTACTTTATTATTATATTATACAATTAGTAAGTCATCTTAATAATTATAGATTAGAATTGATAAATTATGTTATATAAATATAGACTTTAATAGTTTTAAAACAAATCTAAGATGTTTAAAATTAATATGTAAGTCTATTTAAAAAGCTTACTTTTACGTAGGCTATTAACACTACTACAAAATGCTCCTTTACTTGATGGTTATTTTAAAAATTATTTGACAGTTTTTAACCGTCAAGTAATGAGGCGCCATATATTTATTTGATGGTTAAAAACCGTCAAATATTTTAGAGATTACTTGACGGTTATTTCAAAATAACCATCAAATAATCACTTAACATTTGCATATACTGCAGCAATATACTTGACGGTTATTTTAAATAACCGCCAAGTATTTAGTAATATTTGACGGTTATTTTGTAACAAGCGTCAAATATACTTTCGCAAATTCTGTGTGCCAAATACTTGATGGTTATTTCATAATAATCGTCAAGTATTCGTACATACTTGACGGTTATTTTGAAGTAACCGTCAAGTAAACTTATACTTGACATTTCTTTCTAAATAACCGTCAAGTATTTATGATGTGTTTTTTAAAAGCTGGGGGCTGCTTAAACAAATACAAAGCAATCAAATATGTATACCAGCCAGCCAACAATAAAAAATAATTGAATCATTATTTATATTGAAATTACAATCTAAATATCTTTAATTTATCTTATATCTACCTATACTCTAAACCCGATGCCATAAAAAAATCTATAACTTTACCTACTTTACAAGTTTAAATTTCAAAATTAATTGGCCTCAGACATAAAATTGACCAAAAAAATAAATGTGTACACCAAAACTAATTAGGCCTAACTACTGCTGCTATCCACATGTTAAACACAGCCTGAGCTACTTCTTCAAGGGTTTCCTCTATATGTGCAGCTGCATACTGAATACAGTAGGCATCCTCGAAGTACTGTATGCAAAGAGTTACAACAAATTCAAGTTAATAGCTATCTAACAAAAGTTGTTAAAATTTATAATTTAAGTATCATTATATTTAATATATATCTTGTTAGGTAATGTGGTAGGGGCATGAGTGATAATGTCCTTCAAGAATCTCATCAAGCAATAGCCACAGTCATTGCTCTGATCTGGCTGGAGTGGACACTGTGCAAAAAAAATTACATATCAATAAAATAATAGTTAAAAGGCCACGGTTTGTTAATTAAAAACTCAGTCCATTAGGTTTACTTTAACTATGACCCATGTCTCATAAGAGTCCAATACCCTTAAGCTAGGGGACAAGGTCTTGTTGGTCGCAGTTCGATACAAGACCACAGCTCTAAGAAGGAAATAAAGAATAAATGTTAAAAATTCAATATATATGGATATTAAAATAACAATTAATAAAAATTCAACTTACTTATTAAAAAGTTCTACCATATCTGGCCTATTGCTTGGTTCTCCATTAAGAGGATCAAGATACCAAATTTTTGAAGCAACAGGGTTAACCATAATAAGCATCCAGTGCCCCCTAATAAGAAATAACAAGTGTTATCAAATAAGTAAATATAAAAAATATTTACTTGTACCAAAAGTAGCTAGAAAGTGGCTTACCCTTGACAGTAAGGAGCAAGAAATAAAGTATCATTGCTTGCTCCCCTATCCTTAAATTGATTTGAAAGCTGCTTTGCTTGATCTTCAAGAGCTTCCTTTGTAATTCCATTATAGGCAGAGACATTGTGGGGATTAATCAGCTTAAATCTCGACTCAAGGCCGCCAGGAATCACAAATGAGGTATAAAGGTGGCTTAAGTAAAAAAATAACCAGGTTAATACACACACGTGCACACACACATACATATAATTTAAGTAATTAACTGAGCATTATCGAAGAAATACCTCATGTAGAAGCTTATCAGACTAGTACTGGCCATTTCGTGCTTGAGAATTTCATTCAAAATTTCATCCCGAACAACT